ACATAATATATATGACAAGGTAACAGACTTTTATAAAACTTTTTAACAAACTTTTTACTTTTTAACAGAGTGTTAGATTTTGTTCTCTCGGCTCGCTATTTTGTACAGAAACAGCTAGTATAGTGGCAGCCTCTTCTTATAAAAGGGTTAAATATGACTAAAAAATATTGCTAATCACATTTGTTTGCCTATGTATATCTAGCTAGGTATATCTATATACATATACCTTTGTTTGAGGATGCGATTCAACATGAAAACACAGATAGAAACCTCGCGTGATATTTTATCGTTATTTTTTCATATTAATTGATATATTTTCAAATTTTAAGAAAATACTGAGAGAATCTAGAATGTTTTTATTAAAACTTGTAATACGCATCGCTTTAATAAGTGAGTCAGACTCATAACAATGTGGATCATTCTTAGCGAAACTCAATATGCATGTGACATGCAATAAATTGATAAAGAGTCTTAGAGACAATCTTGTATTACTAAAACATTTAAACATTATGTAATAGTATTTTCTCTATAATGCAAATTCGTAATTACATAATTATATATGTTGCGTAATTATATGTTGCTTACAGTATAGTTATCGCGAAAGGTACAGCAAAAATAGTAACTGCAGTTCATTAGGAAATTCGTCCATTTGTATTAACGGTGAGGAACAGGGTTCTGTTACATCCTTATCGACAAAAACGAAGGTACGTTTAATAATCCTCAAAAACAGAGATTAACAAAATATCTTCTCAATTTCTTTAATTTCAATCTTTTCTATAAAACTAAAATCGTAAAAGAATTATATCGAGAGATATTATATTTTGTTTGAAAATAAATATCTATAACTCTTACATTTTTATAAAAAAAAAAATTATTTATATAAATAAATTATATAATATTTTATAACTTTAAAATAAATATAGCGAATAATTTTCAAGAAAACTTTTTTTATAAATCTTTTTAAATAGAATCGACGCAATAGATAGGGTAACTGTCCCAATTGCTGTGCCTGTCCCCATTAGTGTGCTTTTGTATTTCAATAAGTTATAAAGAAAACTAGCACAAATAAATAAAAAAAAATCTATGTGAATCCAGTAATACATACCGCAAGGTTATCCCATTTAATGTGTCCTGTATTCGAGCTGAGAACGTATTATAAGTATACTTTGAAATAAATATAATTGAAATAATGATTTATGTAATATTAACATAAACAATTAGTTTAAATTTATTACTTGTGTTTTAGTAACTATATGTTAAAATGAGTCAAATGTGGATAAACACACAAATTGAGGGCACATTAATAGAGCCATCGCCGTTTAGAGAATTCGTTAATAGGGACAAAAACATGTTTTCTATTTTTGTCAAAATCATTATAAAGTATTAACATTTTTTAGATTAAAGAAATATTATAAGAAAAAGAAGTGATTGAAAAACCGATATTGATTGTAAACAGATAAAATTAAAGCTACAATATTTAATAATTCAGTAATAAGCAAATTGGCTAAAAGGCACATTAATAGGGACAGTTACTCTAGCCTCCAGTAATAAAAATTTTTGTTTATTGTAGGTTGGAATGACATATATTGATAGCTTCTTATTAATTCTGTCAAACGCGCAATCGACATAAATATAGAAATCTCATTTTACAGGAATCATGGTCGGACAGAAGAATGAAAAACACGTTTGGATGGGCGAGAATCGACATTATTACGATGCTCGTCTGCTGCGTCTTCCTCGCTTCGTTTTGTTTTTCTTTACTAATGGAAGCATTGCAGACATTGGTGCACATCGATCATCTAGATGAAATGCATCACCCATTGCCAGTACTGTGTATTGGTATTTCCGGAATATTTCTAAATGTTTTCTGTTACATTTTGATTGGGGGATTCACTTTCAATCAAGGCATCTTCGTGCATGTTACAAAGAGTGGTGACGTAATAATACGCAGGTAACTTTTATAATAGTGCATTTTATAATAAATCCTAATTATAACAAATTAATCAAAAAAATGTACAATAACACGGTACGTTTGTACATTTTATAAGTTTGTGTCGATTAATTTTGTATCGCTCCTTATCATATACGAAATAATAAAGTTACACATACATTTATCAGTTTTCAAAATGTTGTTAAAATGTATATTCTAGATTATGCTAAAGTTTTTTAAAGTATTTTCTTGCGCAAGTAATAAGAAAATTCTTATGTCCGAGATGTTCCTTTATGTATTTCTATCGACGAAAAAAAGTTTATTAAAATTTTAATAGAAACTGGTTCACGTATATTGTTTACTAGTGACACTTGACATTTCAGAAATGTGAGTTCACAAGAAACAAAGGATGGTGAGCAACAACTATCAGCACAGACTAGGCGAAGTCCGCTTGCGATACCAAAAAGTGAAGGTTTAAGAGAAATGTGTCGAGATGTTCTTGGGTGTGTTTTCGTCATATTAGTATCAATTTTAGTTTATTTCACCAATTCCGATGTAGCCAAATTCATTGATCCGGTCTTCGCAATTATTTCATCAATTTCACTATTTGTTCTCTGTTATCCTTACAGTAAGTATATTTTAATATATTTAATATCTTCTTCTTCTTCTTACGTTAGACCTCTGACCTGTGTTACATCTCTCTCATACGTTTGTGATGCACACGCTGATTATTCAATTGCCACAAGCATATGAGACCTATAGTTTTAATGTCGATTCCGAACGGCGGATTTTTCGAGAAGTATTTCTGTGGGCAAGGGGACATTGATCTTTTTCAGAGGAGATACGAGTAGATATTTTGGTTCCTATTGGGAAACGAACCCGGGATTTCTGGCATGATAGACCAGTGCGCTATCATGCCACGCTCATATTTAATATATGTACGATAAAAAAAAAGAAAAAAGTAGCACAAATAATACGTAAATAGCATAAGTATATTTATATATAAATATAATACTATAAGAAGCATAAATAATATGTATAAATAGTAATACAAAGTGAAAACTATATTTATAATACATATAATAAGTTAAAGTATTAATTTATTATGTATCTTGTATGTCGTGAATATTGTAATATTCGAAAATACTTTAATTTATTTATTTAATTTTAATACTTGTATCTTTTTACTCCCATTTTGTTTTATTATTTTTCTTTACAGTGAAAGAATCAGGCCTGATATTACTGCAAACAATTCCAAATCACATCAATATCGATTGCCTTAAAAGAGAACTATTGGTAGCTTTTCCGGGCATCGTAAACGTTCATGATTTACACGTGTGGCAATTAGCAAAACATCAAGCTATTTGTACAGTCCATATTGTATTTTTGAATCCAATGGTACACAAAAGCAAATTTTATGAAGTTAATTAAAATAATTTATACATGTAATTGAAATACACTGGAATCTCATTGTAGCGAACTTTGAAATAGCGTGAAAAGTCCTTTCCTATGAATAGCAGGAGTGGAAAAATAGCAGTAGTCACTAAAATCTTGAATTTCATTGATTTGGAATGAAGTAGAGGCAACGATTATAGTATTCAGACCTCTGAATCATGTGCTATTACAGAGAGATTTTAGTGTATATTTAATTGTTATTTAAGAAAGAAAGAAAGATAGTTTTATTCGATTTTTTTTTTTAATTAAAAATATATATTTTTTTCATTTTTTTCATTTTTGTTTTTTTTTTTAGGTTTATGCTAGCATTACAGAACAAGTTACTGCCTTTTTCGTCGAAATGGGTATCACGCAGGTCACTGTACAGCCAGAGTTCCATAAAGTATGAGATAACTTATTAATACATAATTTTATATTTAAAATCGCTTTATTGAATAATAATCTGTATCATAGATAAAGCCGAATACGGAGAAAAGTGATTGCCTTATTACATGTCATGGGGAACATTGCAGTTCTTCCCAATGTTGTTCTCGAGAAAACTTTTTGGAGGACGCATGCAAGTCGGTGAAAGATGCGCACTCCATCAATAGAAGATACGATAAAAAGGAAAAAACACCAGCTGCATATGGGATTAGTTTGAAAAAGTTTACTATCAATGAGAAGGAAACTTTAGAACGGACTGTGAGCGATTCAAAAGCGAAAGAATCTGTACCTAAATCAACAAACGAAACTGCGTGTCACTCGAAACAAATACAAAGCGTTGTAAATGTTAATTCTGAAGTCAGTGCCTGTGCGATAAATCTAACTGATCGAATATCTACAAATGTCGATCAAACATCTGTAACTGTCGATAGCAATGTAGATCACAGCGTCGTATCTTAAGTCTCTATCATTTAGGCAGATAATTGTTTCAATTTAATTATTTTAATCTTGGCACTGTCTTACCTGAAAGAGATTATGTGATGTTCACACAATAAACGCCATAATCTTTAAATTATTTCCATTCGATAAACAAAATCAATAGATAAAAATTTATCAGTACTTTCGTACCTACAATCTCAAGTATTTGGAGTCATGTTAGTGTATTGAGAAATCAAAAGCATTGTAATCTTTTTTAAAAAGAGAAATCGTATTTTCTCTTTTTTTTTTTGTAGTATCGCAATAATCACTTTGTTGAAAAAGAATATTTACTTCAAAATTATTACTAAATTTAGACACTTAAAAAAAAATTTAAGTTGCATTCTACTTTTTTGCAGCATGAAGTTTATTTCCTATTACACTAGAAAAGAAAAATGTAGAATTAGAAAAATATTATTTGATAGTAAAAAAATTATTGTTTGAGCCATGATATACGTAAGGATATTTAACGAGAAGACTGTAAAATAGTATTAAGTTTCTATGGTCATATATAACATTGTTGCAATAAATAGTTTCATAATAATATCGTATAGACATTTGGATAACACGTGTACTATATGTATAGTTATTAGAGAAGCGTAATACTGACTTTATTAATTGCACAAGAATTTATTTCTTTAGCGTGAATATTTTTCGAATGAATAAAACAATAATTAATCGAGCAATATTATTATACTTATTATATTTGTCAATATAAGTTATTTAAGGGATCATACAATGCTCGATTTCTTGAATGACAAACACACTAAAATATATTCATGCATTGAGCGCGGGATGCCGATATATGATTGTTATGCTTATTATGCATATACATCATAAAGCTGTGTTCTTGCATAGACCAATCAAAAAATTAAAAATGAATTTACCTATAGCTCATCTTCTAAAACAATTTTGCTAATTTTGTAGATAAACATAAGTATGAGTTTTTCAGCTTTACTTTCTATCAATAATCAAACATGGCACCTGTATAAACAACAACAATTAAACAGTCTACAGCAAATATTAAAATACGTTGCTAATTATTTACTATATCTATTTTTAAACAAATGTAAAAATTATTATACTATATATTTATTAATTATCATTTATAAATATATATCAGATACTTATATATAAATTTATATATAAATTTTTATATTAATTAAAGAAAATTTATTAAAATTTTTCGCAAAGAAGAAATTAGCATAATTAATAAACTGTTTGACTTTAATAGAAATTCAATTCTTTTAAAAGAAAGTAAAATTAAAGATAATAATATAACGATAACGTGTCATTGACTGCAGTTCCTATGCGATAAGTATCGGAAACCTATTGCTATCGATAGCAACACAGTCCACAACAATCTATCATAAACTTTTTAGGGTCGTTGCTTAAATAGATATTATTTAATCTATTGTCTCTATTAAATTAGGAACAAAAAGTCCAAAAATGTTTATGAATCTATATCTATTTAAAAAACATTTTATATTTTACAGTTTTTTATTAAATTAAGAATGTACTATATATCTAAATTTTTAATAATTAAAAAAGCTTGAAATAATTAAAAGTAGTTGGTTATTTTAGCTTTTCCCATTTTCTTATATTTTTTATTTTTAAATGTTAAACTTTTTTTTATCATTTAGAAATTTCAATTTTCTTAAAGTGGATGCTAAATAAATTTTGCACAAAAAGACCTTATATAATAGCAACAATCTTATTTGCGACAATATCATATTGCACAAAGAAATGTATGAAAAATTGAATGATTATTTATAAATATAAAATGAATATAATAACGGAAACTGCGATTTAGATATAGCTCACACTTTTATTATCATGTCTAAAAAAATTATTATATACTCTGATGAGATATGAAACATAGAAGTACCTCAAATATTTGCATTTGCCATAAAGAAGATACCATATAAATACTGCTACATCAGATATAAATATTATTATGTTTATTCGATTCATGTTTAAATTTAATTATCTTTTATTGATCAGTTTTACTATTATTACTATTCCTTGACAACTCAATATTCTTCGTTATTTATAATATACTTATTTTATCTACTTTACTATTATAATAACTTTTGCATTAAATTTTAACCAATATAGTATGAAATTTAATTCAATTATCAATTTTAATAACATTTTAATTTCATAATTCATTTAAAGATACTATAATGTCATTATTATATAAATTTATAAACTTTAACTAACATTTACCTACAATCTTTAATAATGATCTTTAATAATGATCTTTAATAATATTTAAGTATATTTTCAAAGTTTATTTATTTTAATAATTTAGCAAATAATATATAAAAAAGTATTATTCGTTATAATAAAATAAAAAAACTGTATATAAAATTATATATAATTTTATTGCTTCTTTTATTATTTTTATTTAGTAGTTAAAAAAAAGTTACAGAATGTTACCAAAAAATTACTCTGAAACAAAGACGTGTTAATTATGTCAATTCTTCCTGCTAACTCGTTTAATAATCGCCAGTTTTCACAATTAGCTCATGCTAATATAAAGGTTTCAATAACATAGAGTCGCGTTGAAAGAGGAACAGCATACAAAATGTTAACGCAAATAATCAATATAAATAATTATTATAAAGTAAAATTGTCAGCTCTCCAAATATAAAAAAAAGTGACACTATTTATAAATTTGTTAAAAATTGTCGTTTAGCAGCAAGTATCTCACGCCTGAAATAACAAACTGTTTTAATTTCGTGAGTGTGCAATATATGATTGAAAACATCTACATCTTTATTTATACCACTTCCTAAGCTTCTAAAAAGGAAATCTTTGATAAATTGCAATATACGAGCGTGTGTGTACATATGTAAATAAATTCATTCGAGAATTATACTAGTTTACAACAAAAATTATTTTCAACCAGAGATTAGGTGTTTCTTATAAATTTTTAAACACTAAATTAAACGCGCACGCGATACTGCAAGCCAAAAAATTTTACGTCAGATTCCAAAGATAATTGAGATTGAGACAAAATATGGTTTTTCTGACAATATTTGATATTTTTGTAAAGAAGATTAACGTTATCTTGAAATTCCAATTAAAAATTATAAATAAAAAAAAATTATTTATTCCCTATAAAATGCATATTTAGAAATTTCATTATTTTATTTTTTAGCCATGTTATTAAGGATTTATAAATTCAGAGTTTTTCTATAATAGCACACTTTAAGCCTAAATGATGATAAAGTCATATACTGTTTTAGTCATTTTCCAGTTTGTGATTATCATACACATATAGTACATAAATCATACAATTTTTATCTAAAACATTTTTATTAAAAATACATTTTTTTCGAGGTATTCGAGACAATTAAAATAAAAATGAGCCTCCCTGTATATATATACATATAGGGCGTCCCAGATTAACTCTGCCGTCTATTTAAAAACTAGGGAAGCGGTTTTTGTCAAAAATTCTAAAAATTTTGATAAATAAATCGGCAGATATACTCCATCGTGATACTTTCAACTTACGGTTCAAATGGAAATCGGTTATTCAGACAAAAAATCGATATTTTAATGAAATAAGGTATTTTGTATTGCAGATTCGAGTTCTATGTGAAGAAAACATAAAACTTAATTTGTACCAAGCATTTTTTGATAAATATTAATCTTCAAATGACGTTTAAAATTTTGGTTTAAATTTTAACTTTCGGTCTGAATAGCCTATTTCCATTCGAAACCAGAAAGTTGAAAGCATTACTATTTGATAAATTTTTGCATAATAAAACATCAATACTGCATAAAAACTTTTTAATATTAATATTTTAAATTAGATTTAATATTTAAAGTTGTAAAGTTTTAACTCAAGTTTTCCTTCAAATCCATTTTACTGGCAAGAATTGTAACAGCAGTTCTGCTGATGCTTTACCATTTGCGTGTAATATATCAACCTTATTTATTTAATTTTCCTATTCAACACTATAACTCTGTCTATGTAATGTATGGCGATAAAGATAAAAATTTTAATGCAAAAGCTACGTAAAACAAGTAATAATTTATATTTTCGGCAAATTAGATATCTCGATGAAAATATTCTGTTTTTTTATTTATTTATTTATTTTGATATTTAAACATTAAGCAAATTTATAAACAAATTGTATAAATTCACAAAAATAGAAATAATTTTCAAATAAACTTTAGTATTTTCGAATACATATATTAATTTGAAGTTGATAATTAACATATTTTTCATGAGAACATGAAGTATATATATA